CAGCTACCTGTTGGTGTTGAATATGTCAGTTCAAATTCAAGTTCCAGAGTATGAAAAAAAGAAATAATTAAATGATTAATTTTAATAGATATTTAAATATTTCTTAAGGCTAATCTTTATTGTAATTTAATGAAACAATCTGATCGTATCGTTGTTTGTCATCTTGGAAATCCATTTTTATCAAATGAAAAAGTAAATTAAATATTATGTCGATATCTACACATAGAATTTCTCTTTATATTATTTTTTAATTGCAGATATCATTACAAATTCATACAGCTGTTAATAATTATTCAGCAATACAGACAGATCCATTAGTATTTGTAATTAATGTAACCAGGTAAATATTTGGAAAATTTTATCTAATAAATTTAAATTAAAAAAAAATAATAATAATAATAAACGGTTATGAGTATGATGAGCTTGTCAAGAACAGAAAATATTACGTGTGATCAATAAATAATTAGACAAGATGTTCATTCATTTTCAACATCTTTTTAAAGAGCCCCAAGTAATTCCAAATATTGAATCAGAATTAGAATTTTATTTGCGTTCTGGATATAGATTCAAAACTTTTGTAAGACTTCTGATTGAGAAGTTATCGGCTGACCTTTTAAAAGTTCATAAATTAAACTTGAGTGAAGAACATCGATATATTTTTGCTGCTATCATCTCCTTTACTACATATGCTGTATTACTGAGTTTTTTTTGCATAGAATGAAAGGCAAAATTGTTTTCGACAAAATCTAATAAAAATCAAGAATTTTATAATAATCATTCATAAAATATCATTTTATTGAGAAATATTTACTCTTTCATTCACTGTTTTTGAAATAATTTTCGTTTCTACTTTGATTAAGTTTCGACGCGTGAAAATTCGTTCAAACTTAGTTTACTCGTGTCTCTAAAAGGTCGACTCATAAATCGTAAGGTAGAAGGTCTGCAAAAATTTTGAACCCCTATTCAGAAAAAACATGAAATTCTGCTGTTAAACTGATGCTTGCAAATTTTTATAGGCTTTTTGAGAAAAGTCTGAAAAATGAATAAACATTTTTGTCGAATTACTTTTCAATCATTCGTTATTTATATAAGAAATGATTATTGTATTGTAACAAATATTGCTTCATTCGAAGTGTTTAATTTTACATTTATTTCAAACAATTTCACTCAAAAGAAAATCAGTATTTGAATAATAATTCTAAATTTGGCAATCTATTATAAATGATAAAGCATACATTATTCTTAGGAAATAATTTCAAAATTCAAAAAGAAAACCACCAATATTCAAATGATATCAAGTAAAGATTAATTAAAGATGTAAAATAAGTGTTCTCAGAATCGCTAGTAGATTAATAAATTTAATACAGCAAAATGAAATACTTTATCATATAGAAAATAAACAGATAGATTCAACATTGATTAAGCTTTATATATTTGATAGCAAATAGATAGATACAATTGATTAGTTTTAATCAAAGAAACAAAATTTTCTTTTAAACATTTTATTTTAAAATATAAATATTATTTTAAAAAATAGTGACAATCCAGATTCAAAAAAATTAACAACAGAAATCATTATACCAATTTCAAGTATACCAGAATTAGTTTTAATCGGGTAAGAAAATAAAATAAACATCCTATGGAATAATCTTTTTTCTTTTTCTTTGTATATCTGTTTTCAGTGTTGCCAAACCAGAACAGATATCAACAGATACATCAGATAATAATTTAATCAAACATAGATCTCATATGAAAACAGATGATCTTGAAATAATACATACTTATACATTATATAATAAAGGACCAAGTGATGCTAAACGTACAGAAATTAAACTTATGTGGCCGATGTTACCATCATCAGCATATAATGAACAATTACCATTATTACATGGAATTGATCTTCCGTCTATTATTCGACTATCAGATCCAAAAAATAATAATGATCGATGTTATATTTATCAATCGGTAAGAAATATTTCTTAATAAATTATTCAATAGGAATCGAACAGTTCAGGAAACGTTTTCAAGATTTCCTTAGATCCGAACTAGAACCGAACTGATCGACCTCTATCATTGAATGAATGTAATTGATTTACTCGATTCACACTGGAATGATTTTTCTCGGAAAAACAAACTAGAAAAGAAAAATTAATACAGAGTAGAAAACTGTTAGTGTAATCCCTTCGGAATTCAAATGTACAACAGGATATAGTTACTGTTGCTTATCAATGAAAGATTCCTTTACTCTATCTATCTTGGGACACATTTATTTATTATTCTTTCCCTAGTCTTCGAGAAATTCAATAATGAAGTCGTTCATCTATTAGAACGAGACGTTCTTCATATACAATTTTTGATTATATATTAACAATGCTTGTCATGATCTGTGACAAGCCGTCTTTAACACATGCGTCACATCTGGGAGAAGGGGTATGAGTCCAAATTTTAAATTCTATACTTCAACAACCTTTTTAGGTCGTGTTTCGCTAAGAGAAAGAAATCAGTCGTGATCGAACAAGTAACACCAGGTGTTTATCATTAATATGAGCGTAATTTATCGCATATGCACTACTATTTCCAATGGTTAATTCCTAAAATCGAATGAGCCATAAGTACCATTATAATAAAAAAAAAAAAACAAATATCTCCCAGTCGGTTCAATCAAATAGGCTGATTTTTTGGATAGTAGTAGAAGTTTCTGTAAAGTTTTCTTCATATGAAAAGGTAGGCAAACATTACTATTAAGTATTATTGTTAGTATTTTAAAGGTATTATACCTGTTATCAAGAATTCTACACGTATAGCATGAGTTGTCACCTGAAAGAATAGCAAAAATAAATTTTATGAATGAAACTATATTGATTTCCATAGAACAAATTTTCTGACCTAGCTAATGTCAGAGTCAACATTTACAAAATTTCGAATTTTCAAGCACAGAACACTGGTTTTTGCCAGAAAGTCGACATTTTTCATGTACCAAGGACTGCAATAGTACGTTTTACTTACAGGATACGAATTGCAGTATTTAAATTGACTCGTTTTGAAAATTCGCTCTATGCGCCTTACCAGAGGTCGGATTGACTTATTATTATTCTCTTATATAATAATTGAAAATGATGTGTGACATATGTCAACTGTGCTTGCCTTATTTGACAAGAGGTGAAATTTCTTTAATGAGGTCAAAAAAATAATTAGACAGTAATATTTTTACATTATGTGTAAGAAAAAAAAATAACTTCAAATAAGCTTCTACAACTAATAAAAAAAAATTAGTTCATTCGAGCGAACCGAAGTGGAGATATTTTAATTTCTTATCTTAATTCTATTTATAATCGACCCTGTTGTATCTCACGATATGAAAAAAAAACAGTCCCTGGTCACCTTCTATCTTCAAAGAGTTAAAACATAATTTATATTGAGACTAAAACAAATCTTGAAAATGTAAATCAAAAGATTGAATAAAATTATTTTTATTTCTTTAGACCGTAAATCATATATCTAATATAGAAAATGAAAATATTTATCATCCATTTATTAATAAAATTCGTTCAACAGTATCAAATAATCTTATTCTTCCTGATTCAACTTCTACTAATCATTTTCAAGAACTAACTCAACCTATTCATTGTCGTGGACCGTTATGTCAAAGTTTTATTTGTTACATTGATACATTACCTATTGGTCATAGTGTCTTAATACAATTGAAAGCTATTTTACGATTTCATCATTTTCAATCAGTAAGTTTTTGGAAACAAAAAGAAGAAAAACATCAAAGAGAAATTTATATTTCATAGGACAAATATTTTTTCTAGTCGATCTTTTGATTGGTTTTTTTTTCTTATTTTCTCATTAACAAATTATGATCATAATTTTTTTTTAAATAGAATAATTCCAAAATAATGATGCTTCATTAAGAAAAAAAAACAACAGTATAGAGATTTATGTGGGTTTTCTTTTGAAAATTTAGTGCTTAACTTTTTCTGATACAATACTAAGCGTTGAATAGTTACTAAAAATAATACAAATACCACCTGTTCAATAGTTTTCTGCAATCAACTTTTCATCTTCTTCTCATATTGTTTTATAACTCATCATTAAATTTAATATTTTCTTCTTCTTTCAGTAGCTTACTACGAAACAGTCATGATGAACAAAGATTATAACCTTTAGTTTTATTTTTAAAGCTATATAAGAGTATGTTTAATATTAAACATCATACGAGCAAAAAGAGCGATGTGACATAGATTCAATAACCAGGTCTATAGGGATTTGATCGTAATAAAAACAAAATTAACTATTTATATTTAATAGTAAATATTGTTAATATTAAAAAATGTCTGACTAAATCATTAGTTATTCATAATTTTCTGCTTTGTTGTACCAAAAACAACGCATCAGGGTCATGTCAATTATGATTCAGAAATGTGTGACTTTAAACTTGAACAGACAATAGTATGAAATCTCTAATAACTGTAATGTTATTTAAACGAAATATCTAAAGAAAATTCTTTTTTTTTTTTAGTATCTACATAAAACAGTCTATTAATAAATAGATAATTTATTTCGATGTATTTCTTGTAGAAAAATGATAGTTGTATGAGAATAAATATAATCAGATTGTTTTATTTTATTTTTGATTTCTAGAAATTTGATCGTTCAAAACCATTTCTTATTGTATCAAATGCAAGTGCACAAGTTCGAGAAATTCCATTAAAATTTTCTCATAATAAATCTGTTCAACATCCGATCGTTTATTTAAAGGTATAGTTTCATATATATATATATCTGTACACAATCTGAAAATAATTATTCTTTTTTACACATACCATGAATGCAAAATATTTTCTTGACTTTTTACTCCTCCAATGCATTTCCGAGTACTTTTATCGCTATATATATATATATTCGGTTAGTTATTTGAGTACATTTATTTTTATTAATACATAATCTGGATAATAAGAAATTATTGAATTCAGTCTGTATGCATTTTCTTCTTGTCACTATATTCTTTGTTCGGTTAACCGACGACGATGTCGTAAATTATAAAAACATAAAATTCGATAAAAAGCTTTACGAAACTTCACATGAAGAAAAGAATAAAGAAATGGATTAATTGTTGAATTCAACCATAATAACCAAAATGTGATTTCGTATATAAGCACTGATATACATTTATCAGGTTGCTTACATAAAGAACGTATAAGTGTTAAAAATGTATATGGACACCAACATATAACAAATGCGAAAACAAGTATAAATAATTTTTTTGCTGCTTTACGATCACGTGCCAATGCCAATGATGAAGATGATTTAGCATAAGTTGTTGAAACTGGTAAAGGTTGTGTATTTGATGAATTAAGTTGTTTCAATTCTTGTTCATCATCAGGTTTTGTTTTTTCATGATAACCATTTTCTGAATAAGCATCATTTGATTTTGTTGCTTGTGATGATATAATGGATTTGAAATTTGTTGTATTATGATTATTCTGATTATTTTTTGTACGTATAAGTCCATGTGAACGTTGTCGAATATTCAAATAAACAAGAAGATTAAGTGTTGTTAAACTAAAAAAAGGTACAAAAAATTCAACGAATGCTGTTGTTACTAAATATGGAAAATTATTGGCAAATGGTGGATCACAGGTACGATTTTGAAATGGTTCACTACTAGATAACCAATCCCATAATAAGATTGCTGGAGCTATATGAATTAAATATAAAAATTAGAAGAAAAGAAATGAAAAGAAATGAAATATTTGTTTACCATAATTAAGTATTGCTATTATCCATGTACCTAAAACAAATTTTAATGCACGTCGTATTGTTGTCTTTGATATATAATTTAATCCTTTTGATACCATTTGATAACGATCATAAGATATAACAACAATGCATAATGTTGATGCTGAACCAACAACATAATCAAATACAAGCCATAATTTACATAAGATATAACCTAAATACCATTCACCGAGTATTATTTTATGAGCATAAAGTGGAATACTAAAAACAAAAAAACGAAAAAAAAAAATGCTTAAATTAGTTTTCTTTTATTTCACCGGAAAACTTCATTTATGTTAAATTAAAAATGATGTTTATTTATAAATAAAATATCTCAATATTGATATTTATTAAAAATAATTGTACGTTGTTCTGTCTGTTTTATTATTGTCATTTTTAAAATTATTTCTAATGGCTTATAAAATATTTATTTGTTTACTTTTCTCTCTTAAAATAATTTTAATATATGTAGAAATTAGTTATTCAACCATAAAAATGAATGACCTCAAGTATGAAATTATTAATTTTGTTTTTTTTTTTCAAGGTACCCAGAAAAATTATTTACCTATATATAGAAACTTTGTCATAGAAATATGATATCCTCTTCATTGTAAAAACTTTCAATGAAAAGGTTAGATTTATAGGACATCACATGTTTATTTAACTTGATTTAGGCTCAAGTTTCTTAGTAGGAAGAATGAGAGACTCAGGTATTCATGTTAAATTTCTAGTCAGTGTTTTGTCATATGAATACTGAACGATAAGTGATAGCATTTATTAGCATAAAGAAAAAGTAACATTCTACTAAGAGGTCATTTATAATTGTTTGATTCATGTGTTTGTTTTCTATGATGTGAGAGCATTATGTTCTTTACAAAAGTACTCTCCTGAATAAAATTTTTGAAGCGAGAAAATCTTAAAGATATTAATGAAGGATTATTATTATTATTATTTCTTTAAAATATCGAAGTAAAGATTTTCAAAAAAATTTACCATATAAGACCGATAAGTAAATCAGCAATAGAAAGATTAAGAATAAAATAATTCGAATAAGTTCGTATAGTTGGTTCACATATAAATGCAATAATAACTAAAGAATTTCCGGATACAGTTAAAAATGCCATTGTTGACATTAAAAATGTAAGAATACATTTTTCAATTGATGATAATATACCATTTGTGTCTGTAGGTTTAATAATTGAACTTTGATTTACATTTACATCCCTTTGATTTATTTGTGATGCTATTGTTGATGATGAAAAAAATGATTGATATATTAGATTTATACCATTTGATGTATCATTTAATAAAACATCAGAAGTAAATAAAAAATTATTATAATCAAAATGTGAGCCTATTTTATCGGCATTTGTTAAAGAAATCCATGTTTGATTCATTGCAAAACATTTTCATTCATATTCATATAAAATAAAATAACATATATCGATAGAAAATATACAATAATCTAAAAGCGAAAAAGACAAAGTTACTTTATATAGATACACAAAACAATGACAGAAAGTTCAGTGTTTTCAAGTTATTCCCGAATGAAAAGGACGAGAAAAAAAGAAACGAGCAAAGAGAAATTGGAGTCTCAATTATTAACATTAGTTGAAAGAGAAGAAGAAGAAAAGAGAAGAATCAGATTTTTTTTTCTTAGTTTTTTCTCGTACTACTGTTTTTATATTAGTATATTAACAAAAGAAATATACCAAGATCAGTACGAAACGGAACTGAACTGTTAGTACATCATACAGAAAATGTCATTAAAGAAATGAAGTATAATTACTCTATTTAGTTAGGTATTTTCAACAATTATAAGAAACTTCGACAGAATTCTTATTCAAAGAATAAATAGATTTAAATAGATGTAGAATTTTTTGAGAAAAAAAAAAGTGTAGCTAATACCAAATAATGTTTTTTTTTTTTCAAACATTTCTAAGCTATTATTTGTGTTACAAAGAGGAGAAAAAAAAAATGACTCGCAGGACAAGATTTTGTTATTTATCATGCATGAACACATCTCTTTCATTGAACTGTTTCAGCTTAGTAATTTATTTGACTTTTCATAAAGCATTACATTAATTCATTCCGAATCAAATATGCCTACTAACAACTGCAAATAACATCCATCATACGCGCTCTAAAAATAGGTAGACATCAGAAAAAAAGAGAAAAAAAAAACAAAGTATAATCAACATAGTTAGTCAAATAAAAGGCAATCATAAATGCAAGTACTATTCTTGTCATCATTAATATCATGGTCATTTCTATTGCACAATTCTTTTCAATGTGCTATTATCATTATTTGATTTGAGCACATTTTTGTTATTGGTCGATTTACTTGACACTAATTTTCTTTTTCTCTAGTTATATGAATACATCCGTAATCAACGTGATTAGACTTGCTATTCCCACAACAGTACTATGCATACATAGGAAAATAGAAATAGACAACATACAAAAAAAAAAAGTCGAGTACGAATTGGGAATATGAAAGTTATGCTTTTGTCTTTTGCTTACTCGACTATGGAAGCAGAAAACCAACAATAACAACTATTGAAGAAAACACAAGAATTGGATATGTTTTTTTCATTATTTTTAATAGTGTCTTGATAGTACACGACAGTGAAAGTGCGAATATTCATAAAAACAGTGATATGAAGAAATAAACTAATAAAATCTCTTTCGACCTATCGAAGCATAATATATTGAAATATAATTGTAAATTATGTTTTGTCTTGTTTCTAGTAGCTGATTATTTTGTGAAGAAGTGTTATATTGTAGAAAAAAAGAAAAAATATGAATTAGTTTTTTTTATTTTTTACCTGCCTTGATAAAACTATTACTGTTTATATACAAAAATCATATGGCTGTTATCATTGGTATTGTTTATGGAAACCTATCAATGATTATTATTGGCATTGTTGTCTTTATATTAGCATGAATATAGCAGGGTTCATCTTCGTTCTGCTTTTTTGTCGTCAAATAAAAACGATGAGTAGGAAACGCAAACTGACAAACAGACAGAAACGCAAAGATCTCAGAGAGAATGACTGCAAGAAATAGCCTGAATGTCTTTATAAAAGTCTGTGTGTATGTGTATGTGTCAACAAATGACCTCATACAATAAGAGTATACAAGAGTAAGCTTGGTGAAAATATGAGGGCAAAAATATTGGTCCTCCGTTCCGTTTTTTTTCATTATTCAATTCAATAAGATAGTGACATGAAAGAACGAGAAGCAATGCAAGAGACGCTTAGCATGTTTAGAAAAGAGTCATCAAAGCATCCGAATAGATCTTGACGATAACTGAAGTAATGAGACGTTTATTAAAGAAAAACGTTTGTTGAATACACATGCAAACGAACTAATGTCTGTTTTTATTTATAAACTATTATTTGCTTGCCTTGAATACAATCTTTATAGATATATTTTTATTTATTCTGTATCGAGCAAAAGTTTGAGATTCATCTATTAGACAATTGAAGGAATTTATAATGACCGATTAGGAAGAAGAAAAAAAAAAGATAAAATACTGCCAAACACATTGTTTAATGTGTAAATATTTCTATAGTAAGAAAGAAAAACAAAAGAAATAACAAAAAAAAGTTATGGTTGAGAAATAAAAAAAGAAAAGAAAACAAATTGATCAATGAGAAAAATATTTTGAAGTGAAACCAGATCGATCATAATTAGAATTTGTTAGATTATTGTTCTAAGCAACAATTATTCCCTTGATAAAAACAAGACAAAATCGAATTCTAACTGCTGATAAGTAGGATGCTGTTAACATAGAACAAGAGAAAAATAATGAAAAGCATGATGATTGAGAAGGAAAAAGAAGAAGAATAACAAGTGGTTTATTCTTTAGTTAATCTTTGACGTCATCAGCATTATTTGAATCGGGTACATCTTTCCTTCTTTTTTTTTCACACTGCGTCTATTTATCTGTTTGTACTTATTATCCAGTAAGTAGTGACGCGCTCCAAGAATTTCTTAATTTCTTCTGCTTCGTTTGTTCCTATTTTTTTTTGTTGTTGTTGAGAATAATAGAAACATTTTCATACAAAGACAATAAAAAAGCGCACTAATTGGAATAAATTGTGTTGTAAAATGATTTTACAAGAACGTGCCAATTTGATTCTATTGTAATATGTACCCAGTATGGTCTTCTGATGAGCTCAAGTCAAAATAAAAACCATAACAGTATATAGACAATGTTCGATCAAGAAGCAGAAGACAATTAAAAAAAAAAGGAACGAACATAAGAAAATAGAATTATACATTATAGTCATCTTTGACAGAACATGATTAAAACTAATAGCAAATAAATAAAAACCTTCTCAATTCATTATTTACTGACTGATTATATTGTTCAATGAACTAAATAAATAAAGAAACAAAATTTTCTGATTATCATCTTATTTCAATTTTTCTTTTTTTTCTCTTTCTAGCTTGAAACACAAATACCACCTATTGTAGAACGTTCATCGCAAAATTGGATTTGGCTCATTGGTCTCAGTATTACTGCAGGAATTGTTCTGTTGATTATCCTTGTTAGTGTTCTATGGTGTGTAAGTATCTTGTTTCGAATTTTAAAAAAAGAATCTCTAATAAATAATCAATTACCTGATTTTTTTTATGAATTGTCATATTGAGTGAGTATTGTTGATAGCCTTAAATATTTACTATAGTGTTAAATGATGATATAAATATGTAAAATGTCAAAAATAAAAAAAGGAGCATTGACAACAAGAGCACCAGTAATGGTATAAGCAGTTGTCAACAACATGGTCTTTTGACTATATAAACTTCAATCTCTTATCGTTGCATGCATTCTGTCATAATTCGTTTTTCCTTTTTCATATCATATTGTAGGATGTATACTGATTGGTCTATAGCTGAAAAAAAAACTCAGTATGATAGTAGTTCTAGAAAAGAAACATTTGTCTGAATAGTAAAAGTAGTAAAACATCTGGCAGCTGGTCGATGTCTGTCGATCGAAGAAAATAATAAAGAATGTGATTGGTTTTTTTTCTTGTTGTAACGAGTTCAATAAGTTTTAGCGACGAACAAATATATTTCGATGACAATGGTTGTTCCTTTGTTAACGACTTAAAAAGTTCAATTAACTGAAAACTATGTTTCCTTTCTTTTTTCTAACTCAAAATCATAATTACTAAGAAAAATACTTTGATCAACAAATGCTTTTAAAAAAATGAAGCAAGTAAGAAGGAAACTTATTAGAAAGAAGAGATTCTTGTGCAATTTAGCATGAAGACATTAAAAAACACTATCATTGATCTAAAAATAGAGCGGAAGATTCAATTTTCTTTTTCTTTTTTTTTTTATGCAATATAACCAATCAGAAAGTTCGTTTTCATTTATGCATTTGTTGTAATATCTTCAATATAGTCTGATTATCAATTAATATTTAGTATGTAATCTATTTAGCTATCTTTTATCGACAGTGTAAGAAAAGAAAACAATAATTTATTGATTTACTCTGCATGATTATTGAAATAATACCGTTAAAGATAATTGCTTAATACAAAAAATCAGAATATGATACTTTAATGTGATTCTTATCAAATAAATAATATTGACTAGAGACTATTTATCAACTAGATCGTTTTCGTAAATGATATGCATCTTGATCTTGCCTAAATGGCAGATATCATTTTCAAGTTAATCATCACTAATAGATAGAAATAAAAGCAAAAGTATTTTGCTTTCTTTGATTAGCTGTTATTTACTATATTATTAGAAACCAAAGATCGACATCAGGAAATCAAATACTATAAAAACAAAATGTTTTTGATTGGAGAAAGAATGTATTTCTTTTTTAATATTTTATTTTAGTGTGGATTTTTTAAACGATATCGTCCACAGTATCCTATGTCGACTTTAGTCGATCCAACAACATCTGAAGGTCATTATTGTTTAGCATCATCACCAAAGTCAGGTCCATATTCATTAAATGATGATAATGAAGAAACATTAAGTGACATTGATGATAATCAAATGATGATACAAAATCCGGTCGATAGTTTACCTATCGTTATACCACAACATTCATCTCATTTTATTCAACAACAACAATTGAAACGATCTCAATTTTCTAATTAAACAAAAATCTTAAATTACTAATCTTGTTTGTTTGTTTTTTCTTTCTTTTTTCTATTTCAATTATTAAATTTTTTAATGTACAAATCGTTGTTTTTTTTTTCTTTGTCTATTTTTTTTATGCAAATATAATAATAAATGACAAATAATATCCATAATCAATTCGTTAATATCAAGACTACAGATTTATACATGTCTTTACTGATTGAAGTTAGGGGTGCCGGCTTAGCATTAGTATTAGGAAAATGCTAATACTTTGTATTAAAAT